ATTTTTTTATTCGTTCTTCTCCTTTTCCCTATTTCATGTATTATTCTGTTTAAATGATGTAATAATGTATAACCACACACTCATGTGAAGTGACTCTGTTGTGAAAGGCGCTATATAAAATAAGTTGAATTGAATTGAACGTAGCACACCCTTCTCAATGCTGCTTCCCTAAAGAACTTGACTGAGATTAAACAGGAACAGCATTGCAGGTTGACATAGCGGTTAATGTTGTACAAGAATCCAGAGACCTTGTAGGAAGGGACACATAACCTTCTGTGGTAGTTAGAGAAGAAAAACCCTCTAACCATCTGGCTGCCCAACCCCCCCCCCCCCGCCCGACCTCCTAGCCTTAGATAGGCCAGAAATGTGCAGGATTTGTTAGAAATAAGGTTGGAATGGAGTGGCAGCTGTCAATTCAACCCTGCAAAATGCCAGCCTTTAATAGTCAACAGATTGGCAGTTCACCCTTGAACATGTAGTACAGTTATTAAATTTCTGCATTCAATGACATCAATTATGTAAATAAAATGTAAATCACTTTAGGATACGTCCAGACAGATTTCAGCCCCACACAAGAAAAGGAAGTGATCAATGGCATGAAAAGCGATGTGGGCACTGCTGCGTTCCCTGCCTCAGAGGATAACACCACATCATTTGCCCCTTTAAATAAAGGATCGTTGGCACTGTGGCCTGTATCAGGGCCACACTGAAGCAGTTTGTTATAGGAATCTAAACAGGTTTGCTGTTGGAGGGCAGCGAAGTCTGCAAGAATTTTTGAAAGACAAGACTGAGTCTGCAGTATGATTAGAGCCAATATTTGTAGTCAGGAATAAGTATAGGAATGTGTCAGTCACTTTAAGGATGTGATCTGTCAGTACTGCTAGACAGGAACGGACAGTATGTCTGACACAATTAAATACAAATTGTATTTCACTTATTTCATAAAAATTAATTTGTAATTTGTACTAAACTACTTGGTAATGCTTTACATTAATTGCACCTTCATAATGAATTCATTATTCATTGATAGAACATTCATAAGCAGCATGTAAGTATACCGTAACATCCTAAGATACCTTAACGGCTTTAATATACATTAATAACAAATACTATATGGTAATAACAAACATAATCATATAATGTTTATTGCTTGGTCGGTGTATTTTTTAGTTTATTTCATTATACTTACAAATAGGATATTTTGTTTTTTTATCAAAATACATTTTTCCCTTCTCTGCTGCTGGGGAGTCATTCAGTAGTTTGATAGATTGCATTTGGCTCTGTTGTGTATTATGAATAAAACTTCTTACAGAGTGAATAGCTGTGTAATTTATATTTTGCTGTTAAGCAAGTCCTTATTATATTGTTATTATAAATGGTGACACTCTAGCCAATGAGTCTGTGATCCTTAATGTTATTGTAAATGGTGACACTGTAGCCAATGAGTCTGTGATCCTTAATGTTATTGTANTAGCCAATGAGTCTGTGATCCTTAATGTTATTGTAAATGGTGACACTGTAGCCAATGAGTCTGTGATCCTTAATGTTATTGTATAAGGTTACACTGTATCCAATGAGTCTGTGAACCTTAATGTTGTTGTAGAAGGTGACACTGTAGCCAATGAGTCTGTGATCCTTAATGTTATTTATTAGGTGACACTGTAGCCAATGAGTCTACAATCTTGTTTGTAAGTTTAACTGTTGAATATTGCCATTTTGTCATTGTCTATGAACTTGGAATGATATGGAAACAACATTTTACTTCATAGATGTGAAATCAGTTGCTGCTTCTGTGTAAGGTTTCATTAAAGATGATTGCACCCCCCTCCCCCAATGCCCCCCTCTGCAGGTTTGCTGCAAGACAGTGACTGATTCAGGTGAGGCGTCAACAAAAGACTCTAAGCCAAGTTGCAGAGGTTAGACTTGGGGGCTCACAAACATTTCACTGACAAGAACGATGTGGTTTCTTGAGGAACAGGCATTTGAGAGTGAGCACTGCAAAGTAACATTGTGAAGTCACCTTGCATCCAATACCCATCAACTGGTAAGTGAAGATCAGGTCATCTGCATGTACTGGCAGGTAGCTGGGAGCAGAACTCCCTCTGTAGGCCATGTTCTGTAAGCCTGCAGACCCCAATCTGTGGCCCTGGAGGACGAACAGGCGAGTCAGAAATCAGCCGCTTTTTCATTGAAGTACATAAGCGAAAGGAAATAACAAAGAACACAGCTGTATGTAGTTACAATGGCATAAAAACTCATGTGACTCAAATAGTCAAAGAGCTGACCTAAGAGACCCTGGGAAGCAGCCTATCAGGACACAGAGATTGTTTTCTTAATGCACCAAATACAATCTTTATTTTCAGTACAGAAATCTTTGGGGAAAAGAGAGGAAGTGAGAACAAAAACTTAAAACGTAAGTTTATATAACTGCATTCTTTAGCAAAGAGTAACCGGAAACACCTGCTGTAATAAAGACAAAAATCACCTTTTTCTATATATTCATGTTTGCATATAGCAATAATAAATACTTTTAAAAGCATTTTCAATTCACAACTTAAATTGCCATTAGGAGGATGGCCCTCTCACAGAGAGAAGGAACATGGATCTCTCTGAAAGTAACTTCTGAAAAAACATGGCATGGTCAGAATGCGGATTTGCCCATCATGAGCCACACAGTTACTGTAAGTATATCAGCAAAATCTGGAGAAAGTAATAAGGCAAACCTACCAACACTCCTGATTTCCCTGGGTTTCTCCAGATTTTCCACTCCTCCATCCACTGTACTTCAGATTTAACATTTCTCCTGATAAACTTCCAATTTTCAGCATCCACTTGTGAACCCTGAGCAGGTATGACCTACAGGGAAGTGTGGATGTCAGCCATTGAATTGGGGGGGTGGGGGTGTCATATGGTAAGCATGACACTTTCTCACAGCAATCACTGTTTGCACTCATTACCTCCTCTAAGGAGCATGTCAATGGTTGATTTACTGTATAAAGTCCAAAATCTGCTCTTCATCCTGTACCTGGGAACAGTTAAAAAGCTCTATCAACCTTATTTTGAAAGAAAGAATAAATCCTCTTTTTAAACCATGTACAAAATGAAATATTACTAAAATCCAAAAATAAAATAAAACATTGATATATACACCATGTAATGCAATATTATACATCAATATATTATGTACTGCACCTGTAATGCAGGTGTTTGTAACATGTAATATCACAAGCTTCCCTGGAAAATACTTGGTAACATTTTAAGACATAATTAGAACATAATCTATCATAACGAAACATAAAAAGGGAAGAGTGTACTTTCACCATCTCCGTCATGTAGAAGACAGTGTATGTTACTGCAAAGTGCCACAGAGGAAGTTTCATCATGATCATCATCATCATCATCAATGTCATTGTGCTTTGGAGAACTTCACCGGATAATCCAACATGAATTTCGCAGTGATATATGATGAGTTTATTTCTGGATATGTTGTTCCATTAGTGAAATTCTAACAAACGATTGCAGAATGAACTGGAACTTTTAGAAGACCTGGCCCCAATTTCTCCACCATTTCACTTATAAAGCAGAAAACGCTAAATAACTAAAAGGTGTATTTCATCCTGTTAGCTTGAAAATAAATGAAAATAGGCAACTAAATATATAGTTACATGACCACAAAATACGGGACAGATAACCTCCGAAATCAACACCCACTAATTTACTGTTTAACTTGGCTGTTTAATAACAATTCAACTGACACTAATATAGAAGCCACAGTCATTCAGGTGTCAGGTTTACTATAAAACAGCAGTAAGTCACACTGGATGAAGTGAAAGAGAATCAGTGAAGTAGAAAATAATTCTATATAAATAATATATATTACAGGGACCACCAGCTGCTTGTTTTCTTATGCAAACACGAATTAATTTGTTTCTCTTCAAAAGCAGGCCAGTCTATGCAGAGTTATTTGGATATCATGGTTAGCTGGCGTTTCCCTGCCAGCGCAGGCAGGTCCTGGCAGACCACTGAGAAGGGAAGGTGGAGAGAGGCTGAGACATGATGTACATGTTTCCTGGGCTGGGGGGACATTGTTGGGGAGGGTTAGGGTGTGCTGGTGTGAAGCGGCTCCCCTCTGCCGACATTGTGCGGGGAGCAGGTGCTGTATGAATTACCATACAGCTGAGAGAGCAAAGGGCAGGCTGAGTCCTGCATCACACAATGCTGAAATGCCTTAATGACAAGCAGGAGAGTGACACCCCCAGCCACGTCTACACAGCCCCATTTAAGAGTGCAATAACAAAATACACAATTATTTACTTTAACATCAGGCTGGCCAAGTCTCTCCTGTCCTTGTGCAATTCTCAAGAAGAGTCAAAGTTTGTTCTGACAATAAGAGGATGTCATAAAAAATACTATTTAGAAAATGGTGACATTTTGCTGCTGGGAAATGATTTGAAGCAGCTTTTAACAATATGCATGTTTGTAATAAATAAAGAAGTATGTCAAAATTCCAGTGCAGTATGAAATATATAACTCTGCTGAAAGATTTGCTGATTTGTGTCCCGGGGAGGGACATTTTACAGCTCAGTGACCACTGAGATCTGTGAAGGAGTGTGAGATTTTCCGTGTCCCTTTGTGTTAACCAGTGCTGGATTGTGGGGGGGGGCAGTCATTAGCATGTCATTAACATAGCAGCCAGCGGTATGTATATAACCAGTGGCAGGAAGCCTGTTCGAGCACACACGCAGATTCAGGGGTGAAAAAAGTCCTTTTCATTCACGGGATATCAGGCTGCTCCTTTTCTGCAATATTTAATTCCAGGACTGGGATTATCACCTTGACATGGAATTTCATGGAATTAAACCTTCAGCTTTCCACGAGGACTTTTCATCTCGTTGACCTTTGATGGGCGCTGGGATTAATTCTTACTCATGATCTGGAAAACGGATGTGGATGAACAAATGTGGAGACTCTCAAGGAAAAACTTTAGTTCTTGTCGCATTACAGTTTAGCTAGAATCTAGAAAGTTTCTCTTGCTGTAGTTTTTGAATATTTATTGCAGATGTTATCCATAATGAAAACCAGGACACAATTTTTGAAAGTATTCATTGTAAATGTCTTAATATCCCAGGTAATATGACACTACCATACAGTTTCCTGAAGTATGATATTAACCGTGCTGTGTGTTGTACAGTCAGGTAACACAGGTATGTGCTGGGCCATCCCATTGTAAATCAGTATAATAGCTCTTTCTTCTCTTTCTTGATAGTGCCTTTCCTCAGGTGGCTTTGAGCTGATGCTGCAGGAGTTTCTGAATAAAAGGAGCCACGCAAGATGCTGCCGCGGAGCCTTGGCCTCCGTGATTCAGCCCTGCGAATGTAAGACGCTGTTTCGCATCTGCCTGAAGCACTACCAGAGCAGCGTGTCTCCAGAGCCCCCCTGCACCTACGGCAGCACCGTCACCCCCGTGCTCGGCTCCAACTCCTTTCAGTTCCCTCAGTCGGCTCCCGATCACTCCTTCACCAACCCAGTACGCTTCCCTGTTAGCTTCACATGGCCTGTGAGTATCCTGGCAGCTGAAAGTTCAATCTGTAAACCTAAGTTTACCGTTGACATATTTTCTTCATAATCTGTTGCAGCTAAACACAAGCCAATAAAGTATATTTATTATCAGAGATTGTGAAGATTCACCAGCTATAAAACAGCACTGTGTCCTGAACAAGCGTCGAAGATGAACGGTCATGCTTTCTTGGTGTATCCCATCTTCGGTGAGAATCATTGACGGTTTTAGACATCTTCTCTGTGCTGATTCAGGGGACCTTCTCCTTGATCATCGACGCTTTCCACACCGGTTCTACTGATGATCCTGCGACAGGTAGGGTGAACATGATAAACAATGCTTAATGCCTTTATCAGCCACTGTCGAGCATATTGAGGCAGGCCAGTGTAGAGGCATTTTACACCAAGGCCTCTGTATTCGAGCATATGGAGGCATGCTGGCATAGAGGCATTTCACATCAATGCCTCTGTTTTCGAGCATATGGAGGCATGCTGGTGTAGAGGCATTTCACGCCAATGCCTCTGTTTTCGAGCATATGGAGGCATGCTGGCATAGAGGCATTTCACACCAATGCCTCTGTTTTCGAGCATATGGAGGCATGCTGGTGTAGAGGCATTTCACACCAATGCCTCTGTTTTCGAGCATATGGAGGCAGGCCGGCGTAGAGGCATTCTACACCAATGCCTCTGTATTCGAGCATATGGAGGCAGGCCGGCGTAGAGGCATTTCACACCAACGACCCTGTATTCACACTCCTCCAGAAAGCCTGGAGCACCTGATCAGCCGCATGATTATTCAGAGGCATCTAGCTGCGGGAGAAGAGTGGACCCAGGACGTACACACTGCTGCTGGAACGGAGCTCGGATACTCATACCGCTTTGTGTGTGACGAGCACTATTATGGAGAGGGATGTTCCGTGTTCTGTCGCTCCCGGGACGACGCCTTCGGCCACTTCACCTGTGGAGACCGTGGCGATGTGCTCTGCAGCCCGGGCTGGAGAGGACAGTACTGTACACAAGGTAGGGTCTCTTCATCATGTTTAAATCCATCTTGACACAGACAGTAACTAATGCAAATCTGATTATGCATTATTTTATTATTATAGATTAATGCGCAATCAATAAATTTTTAATGAAAAAGAATTTTACAAAAAACTTTATTATTATCAGTGCCAAGAGATTAATTTGAATCTTGAGAAGTTTTGTGAATAGTCACAGACATGCTCTGTGCCGTCTGATTGGACCAGTCAGACTGGGGCCTGCTGCTGATTGGATTACTTTTGTTGGCAGCAGGCAGCTGCTGAGTGAAAGCAGACAATGAAGCAGCTGTCCTGCAGTAACAGCATGCAGACCAGCTGTCTGTGCACTCTTATCTGCCCTGACTCAGGCATACCGAGGGGAGGAGTTTACCAAAGAATGGATCAGGGACTTCTGACCCGCAGAGAGAGCAAAATGGCCTTTTGTGTGTGCATCCTTTGTGTGGGGAACTTTGTTAAGCAGAGAGTTTCTTTTTAATTCCCATCTGATTAGAGGGGCAGGTTTCCTATTTAACAGGTAGCGGCACTGAACTTATTTAAATAATCCGGCATTTACTGACCCGTTTAGTGTTTGAGGTTGCAGTTATGCTGAGACAGCTGTCGGTTTGTTTGCAGCGATCTGTCTTCCAGGATGCGAGGAGGAACACGGCTTTTGTGAGAAGCCCGGTGAATGCAAGTAAGTCCGGCTGCTGTCTCCCCTGGCTTGAAACCATCTTCCTGTCCTTCCAAAATCAGGGGAAGCCTCTTGATTTCTTTGTACTACAGCAAATCGGGAAATCCTCAGGGACCCACAGACAGTCCACGTTTCTGCAGAGATGTGGACTGTCTGGCAGAGAGCTGGGAGGGAGCAAAAACATTGACTATCTGTGGGTCCCTGATTACCGGCTTGGGAGACACCGTACTATAGTAACTTGATTAAATAAATTAGCTAAATAAATCTCTTGGTCTAGCTAATATGACATACTGACTGTGGTCACTCGGCAGGTGCAGGGTCGGCTTCACGGGCCGGTACTGTGACGAGTGCATCCGCTACCCAGGCTGTCTGCACGGCACCTGCCACCAGCCCTGGCAGTGCAACTGTCAGGAGGGCTGGGGCGGCCTCTTCTGCAACCAAGGTCGGTTCCATTCGCCTTGGGTCCATAACAGCCAGTGTCTGTGTGAAGTGTGCAGGTTCTTTCCATAGTTCACCCCACAGTCCAAAACCATGCAGTTGGGTGAACTGGTGAACAGTGTGGAATTGTAAATGCCGGAATGCCCTGCAATGAACTGGTGTCCCTTCCAGGGAGACCTATGCATTTTAGGATTAGCGGCAGGTTACCCATAATTCTGTACTGGTTAAACAGTCTGGAAACCTGATTAGGCCATACCTTTAACTTGTGACAAACACAGATGCTGTGATGTCATCATTCTGAGCATTTCCCTCTATGATTTTTCCCAATAAAGGACCTTCAGAATCATGGATACAGGAAGCAGGCTGGTTTAACATTTTAACTGCATGTTCCAGATCTCAACTACTGTACCCACCACAAGCCCTGCATGAACGGGGCCACGTGCACCAACACGGGGCAGGGGAGCTACACGTGTACCTGCAAAGCCCGCTTTTCTGGGACTGTCTGCGATATTGAGATCGATAAATGTGTCGATGGGCCTTGTAAGAATGGTGGAACATGCACTGTGAGTGATTCCGATTACACTGATTTACTTTTCTATTGTATGTTCTCTGTAATGACATTCAGACATAATTTAAAAAAATTTAAAGAAATGTTTTCTGAATAAACCTACTTTTGATCAGGGGGTATAGCCTGTTGTTGTGTATTCAAATCACAAAAGGATCAGGGGTGATTTAAAATTCAGATTTTCAGATGTGTACAAAATATAAAAATTTAATTATTATTCTTAATCCAGTTTCACCAAAAGTGTTAAAGGATTAGTGTATAAGTATTTTTAGAGTGGTGACTCATCTAGTGTTTCATGTTCCCTTTAAGCTATACCAATGTGTGTTAAGTAGCTTGTTGTAATTTATCATTATATGAATGTGCTGTTGGTTACTGTATGATGTACTTTGTCTACCCTGACAGAATACTGAAGACAGTTATAACTGTAGCTGTGCTCCAGGTTATTATGGGAGTAACTGTGAGTTAAGAACGACGACCTGCACCGATGATACTTGCTTTAATGGTGGCCACTGTGCCGGTAACCCAGATGGTGGGTACTACTGTCAGTGCCTCGGGGGCTACGTTGGATTCAACTGCGACAAGAAGATCAATCACTGCGCCTCCAGCCCTTGCGTAAATGGTAAGAGTTGTCTGTCGGCCTAAATGTTAGCTGGTCCAATAGTATCAATGATTCTTCAGTAAAACCTATTTCATAAACAATGATTGTGTTTTGGAATTTTGTCCCAGGTGCTCTTTGCGTGGACCTTGTTAATTCCTACTTATGCCAGTGCATAGAAGGTTTCACTGGACTGCACTGTGAAGAAAATGTCAATGAGTGCTCCAACTACCCTTGCCAGAATGGCGGGACGTGCCATGATGAAATTAATGGCTACTCTTGTAGTTGCCTTCCTGGGTATGAAGGCAACAACTGCAACATATCTGTCAGCAAATGCAAGTATAACCTCTGCCAAAACGGTGGCACGTGTCACGAGAGGGACGGCCATTACGTCTGCACCTGCATGCATGGTTATGCTGGACGCAACTGTCAGTTCCTGTTCATGGAACAGCTTGGTATCAAAGGAGCCAAGAAGCTGCTGGAAGAAGCTGAGAAGGAGGGCATCCCCTGGAAGGCCATCTGCTCTGGAGTTATGCTGCTACTGGTACCACTGACAGGATTTGCAGTGCTGGTGGTTCGCAAATACGTGAAGGTTCATCCCAGGAGCAAGAACTACAACGGCAAGACCATGAACAATCTGACGACCAGCTCTCCCAGAGGCGAGGAGCTTTCTGCCAGCACCAGAGGGGCTCCCCATGTCAAAAACACAAACGTGAAGATGGATTTATATGGTGATAATGGGAAGCAGGTCCATTGCCTACAAGTGGATTACAATCTGGTGTACAATTCAAAGTCTGGGGACAAGATGAGAGTGGAGGTGGAGAAGAGCCTGGAATGTGCATCTGTAGACTGTGATATAGACGCAAAACAGAGGAAGAGTTTGAAGAGGTAAATGGAGTTTGTGACTGTTAGATGCTGTTGTGACTCATCGAATGCAGTGCCCAATGAGGTTTCATGTCACTTTTGTTTCAGTGCTGCTTCAGAGAAGGAGCCCCCTGGGTGTGAGATCTCGTCAGTGTGCGTCACGTCGGCTGGAGAGCTTCAGCACAGGTGCAGGCCCCCGTGAAAAGGCACCACTTCTATCTATTAACAATAATCATGTCTATGATCAGTTAAAATCAATAGTGTAACATTATGATTATGACTAAACAAATATACATCCATCCAGCTCCCAACTGATTATACAGGGTTGCAAGGTTAGTCAGGAGTTTCATTCAGAATAGGGCACAGGGCAGAGACACCCAGGATGGGATGCCAGTCCATCACAGGGCACAGGGCAGGGGGACACCCTGGATGGGATGCCAGTCCATCACAGGGCACAGGGCAGGGGGACACCCTGGATGGGATGCCAGTCCATCACAGGGCACAGGGCAGGGGACACCCTGGATGGGATGCCAGTCCATCACAGGGCACAGGGCAGGGGACACCCTGGATGGGATGCCAGTCCATTACATGGCGCACATTTTGGGAAAGAGTAGGATGGAGACTCAAACTGGCCAACCCTGGAGGTGTGAGGCAGCAGTGGGTACCATGGCAACACCATGCCACCCAGGACCAAGCAAATAATTAAATCATAAAAATATACATGAACAAAAACCATTCAGCCATCCATCTTCCATACTTACCGTGTTCAAGGTCACAACAATTTTCTTGTTTCTCTTGTCAACTTTTCCATGATCTGTGACATATACAGACAGACATGGAACCATTTAGTTTCTAGCAAACTACATTCACAGGACTTTGCACTATGATGATTACCTTCAAAAGCTGGTGTGGAGGTGCCCTTTGAAATAAAATCTTGGTCTGGATTTCTACTTTTTGGACCTGAAATGTCCACCTTTGAGCATGATTAATATTATGCTGCCAGCTAGAACTGTATTGTGATTAAAAACATGCACACATTCGTTAAAATCAAATCAAATTAGCCCATTAAGAGCAACCGAAGAAAAATGTGACTACACTTAAACTACGTGCTATTTAGTTAGCGATAGTGATACACATATTAGATGGTTGTAAATGTCTCTTTCAGCTCAGTGTTCTGTTCCATGTTATGACATAAATTTTGCTACACAGGTGTAACAGGCACCACAGAGACCCGGAGCCCTTACTCCACAGATACCCGGAGCCCTTACTCCACTGAAGCTGCTTAAACCTGGGAATGTTTCCGTTAAAGGCTGCTGCTGTGAGACTGTCATTCAGCATGAGCTGGATCTCTACTGAAGCCAGCAGATTCACTGCTTCAGACAGTGCATGTTGGGCCACACTGGCTCACAGAATTATGGCTGTTCTTCTGATAAAAATGAAATAAACTTAGTAATGGGATGTTGCATTTAAAGTGCTGAATACTATTAAAAAGCAACAATAAATAGAGGATTTCAAAGCTGACTGAGCCAGTCTTGACTCTGGGCTGTATGTGAAAACACTGTTTTTAAATAAAATAATTGTATTTCTTAAGTTAACTTTAAGTTATTTTATTTGTTTTGTAAAGGTTTTTAATTTTATGGAGTTTACGTTTGTTTATTTAATTTTGTGCAGATACAAAAATGACGATGGATTCATGTTTTTTTTCCTATAAATGTATTTAAGTTTCACATTGTTGGAATGATAAAATATTTCATTATAGATAGTTTGGTAACATTTTATCTGAAGCTGTCATCTATAATCCATTATAATGATCAGCATAAGAATTAATAAAGCATTGCAGCATCTTCTATTGACAGTCATAAGGCATTGTAATGTTTATTATAATACTTTATAAACTCCAATGAAGCTCTCAGTTATAATGTACAATCGATACCTTCATAATGCATTATAATGGTCAGTATAAGAATTACAGATGCTTTGTACTGCATTATGAAGGTATCTACGGTTCATTATAGATCAGAGCTACATAAAACATACATAATTCACAATAAACATGGCTCTAATGTATGTCTTTTTATAAATATTTATAACCATGTTCATAATGCTTTATGAATGTATTATAATGTGTTGCGAATATGTTCATAGATTCTTATAGACATGGCATTCATAGAAAGTGTTACTAATAGTTTTATTTTGTAATGTATAGTTTAGGATTTTTGCAAATAAATAATTTTAAATATGTTTGTTTGTTGTTTCATTAGTCTATTCCACTTACATAGTGCTGGGTCATCACAAGGTTTCCAGCTTCAGTCAGCTGGCTGGTGTGAGATTTTCAAATCGAGACAAGTCTGCACAGGCATTTACATGTATGTAACCATTTCATTACCTTGAAAATAGTTTGTAGTGTTTCTATACTACCCCAACGTGTTTGAAGTAGTTAATTTTAGGTTTGTAATGGAATAATATAGATTTGCCATAAGATATCTTGTATGAGCATGAAATGTGTCCTCGGCATTTAACCCATATGTGATGTTGCGATATAGCAGGGGGCAGCTAATTTATCAGCCGGGGAACAGTGCTTGGGGACCATACTTTGCTCAGGGCACCTCAGTGGGACTTTGCTGGTCAGGGATTCAAACCAGCAATTTTTCAATCACAAGGGCGCTTCCCTAACCATTAAGCCACCACTGTCCACAGACGCTAAACCTTAATACAAAAATGTTATCTTTCATACATTTGCATAACATTATTTACTCTGCATATGCACTCATCTGGCATGCCTCACATCCTCTTGGTGTCTTGCCTCACTATATAGCCTACAATTATACAATGCACACAGACTCCTTGTCTTCAGCATACACTAGCTGACTTCTTTTCATGGTGCCCTGAAATAAGCACTAGCCTAATCCTCCCTCCTGTGACCACAGATTAAGGGACCCTAACTAGCAGTGCCAGGTGGTCATTATGGAATAATACGCATGATGGAAAGTCCCCAACAGGGCCATATTCAGCCAAAGCAGCCTTAGCCAGAGTAAGCGACAACAAAATAGGGGAGGCACTGCAAATGTCCTGTAGTGTCCAGCTACACCAAGGAACGTTTGGGCTGGTTAGCAAGCTGTCATGAACTTGGACATGGTAATCAGTAATAACATAGATACTCCACCAGTGGTTTCCAGTATCTAATCCGTGCATGAGAAAGGCTCCTCCCAAGACCCCCTGAAAACTGTGATGATGCATCAACATCATTTTTAAACTTTATCCCCCAACACATGGTGCCCCATACAACCCAAAGAGCCAGAGGCTGTGGCATTTCTGTGGTCACAAGCCTATCATGAAACATACCTGTTAGATGTTACAGGTATCTTCCACTTTTCAAACGTTTGCTCTATGCCGCTTCGCTTTTATGAAAGACCTACATTACTACCCATTTTCGCTAGTTGAAAGAAATCCAAAGATGATTTTTCCTTTTAAGAAAAAAGGCGAAAAGCAAAAATAGCATTCAGTGTTTGTTTTGTAGTGAGCTGTTACACGTAGTTATATTGATTCTGATATGTGAAACTATACTGTACATACATTACATATACATTATACAGGATGTGCATTTATCACATCATTCCTGCTTTTACTATATATGTTGGTGTTCTTTTAGGTTTTTTATGTTCTTTGGTATGATTTTGTAGGTTATTTTTTGGGTCTGAGAATAATCAAAACTTTTAGCATTGGTAATTGCTTCCTCACTTGACGCCATTTCGGCTTACAGAATTTTTACTTAATTTTTACGGCATACTTCAGGATAGCGGGGGAAACCTGTATTTGGTTTCCTGTGGTCAAGAATACTTGCTGCAGCCCTACAGATATGACACTGGATGACAGTATCTCTGCTGTTTCTTGTTGCAGGATGTCAGCGACAGCAGCATTGTCTGTTCAGGAGTATAAACCACATGAGCTAATTTTCTGATCATACTGTCATGAATTGTCAGTTGACACCAGCCATTTTGGATGAGGTTATGACTTATGTCTCTGCATTGCTTCCCTTCTGTAAGTCCAGCCTCTAGCATCTGCCTTACCTGAGTGCTGTAGAGCTGCTCAAAACAATACTTTGTTAGACTTGCATGTGGAACCATAATTATTGAAAGGAAAATCTGTTCCAGTTTGCATCATGAATTCCGAAACGCAGCCAAGCATTACATTTATAAGGATGTACCCTCCGACCCAATATTCGCTCCCACCCCCGTCAGCAAAATCTAACCAAGGGGTACTCACCTCCTCCCTGTACATTTACTGAGGGAACACCCCCCCCCCCCCCCACCCCCCCCCCGGCATCACAACCTACCAAAAAAGTTTCCAGGAGATTTATTTCTAGCTACCAGCCTGCCTGAATCATTCACAGATTCTCAGAGTGGCTTTTGGACAGTTTAATCTCCCAACAGACCCATAAATCATTATCGCCCTCCATCTGAGCAGATACTTGGGTGATGAGAGATGTTTGAGTGACTTCCTGGTCAGTAATGATCTCCTTAGGTATTGTGACTCTGGAGGACCATTGCTTTTTATTTTTTACCTGTTTAAAAAGGTATCCTGCAGAAAATGCAGTTATATAACTGAATATGACAAGGAGTTATTTGTGTTCTATCTTCTACTTTGTAATGGTCCATAGCAAAATGTTCACAAATGATATGCACTTTGGAAAGCTGTTGTATGTAAAATGGTGCACCTGTGCCTGATGTATATTAGAACTGCTCCTACACCTCTGGATATTATACTATATATTGTATATCTATAGAGATGACTTGGGGACTATCAGGAAAGCTATATGAGTTTATACTATTGTGAATCAAGTGTGTAAAGCCTCCACATTGAACTGAAACAATTTTGCATGAAGAATGCATGAAACCACCTCCTAATCCCTACAGGTCTGATAAGCAGCTACAGAAAGTGCTTGGATGAGGTTATTGACAAGAATGCTTTAATATTTGCTAAATATGTGCACACTTTACATCAACAACCTTGACTGTTGACACCATTTTTCAATAAAGATATATGCTAATTTAAAATATTTTCACGTGTCGTTTGCTAAAGGAAGATCCGAAAACGAGATAATCAAGAATTTCCATCTGGGATCAATAATATTAATCAGTTAATCTAATCTAATCTAATCTAATCCCAAAGAGTTCAGAACCTTTTCCTCCCACATGCAGTGGAATGTAAAAGAGGAAGATGATGACCTTGCTGGAGGTGCATGGAGGTGATGACCTTTCTGGAGACTCAATAATATAAGTAAAGTTTTGTTTGTATTTAGAGATTAATTTTGCTAGGAAGCAAAATTAAATAATGGGGGGCTACACATACCCGAATTCCCCTCTGGTTTCTGTCCCTGGTGGCTTGCTAAATAGCCACTAATTGTCCGTGGTGTTTACATTATTCGTAAAAGGCAGGGGACGCTGCAGTTGCCGATGTTTATGAGCTGAGGAGACTGACAGGGAGCGCAATACACTGAGCTGCACTGTACGGCGCCATACTGCCGGTCTATTCGCGCCAGCTGGAAGATCGGCCACTTCGCTCTCCGTTTGCTCCAAAATTGCAGCACAATTTGAGCGAACGCATAACGATTAAACCAAACGTGTATTTCTGCCATAAGCCCAGAAAAATAATAATAATTCGGAATTGTTTAAAAAATATATATTAGTTATTAGCAAACTGGATGCTTGCAATAAGAGTAAGTAATTCCCTTACTCTGACCGCAAAAAAAGATTTCTTGAGGTCTGTCCTCTGAGTACGTCCTTTAGATGATATTTTGCTGGTGGTATCTAAATCCCGGTTTTATCTTTTTGATATTCACACCCATGCTACTGGGCGGAGCTACAGAATGTTTCAGCCACCTACAAGATTTTTGAGAGCTTCTCCTTCCGTTAAAAATAGCTTCTGGCAAGTGTAACCGCGCTTAAGGGCTTTATATAGAAACCTGAAAGGGTTTCAGGAGATGAAGACTCTTAACACCGCTAGGAAAATTACCTTAAATGTATATCATTTAAATAGTATATATAACATTATAAAACTTTAAACCACTATATGTACAACTCCGCGACTTAAGGTGCCCCTAAATCATTATAAGGTGTAACTGGTATTTCACACGTTGACTATGAGTCCATCACATCATGATCTTGGTATTTTTCTTGTCATTATTAACGTGAATTACTAGTACGTGTCTGTCAGTGTGTATGTCTTGAAAGAAAAAAATACCGTTGCATTTACTTTTAATAATAATTTAGGCCTAACGTAATCTTTGACTGAAAGTGAAATTAACGCAGAAGGTCTTGTAGAATTTTGTTCTCGAAAAAAAGGAAACTTGATGTAAAATCTATATATAGTCTTATTCCTGTCCATAAATGGGATGCGACTGCGGGAGGCTTCCATAAGGGAGGGTAATATTTTTGTTTCCATCATCAAGTAACTCAAGGCGGTGCAGACTGATCTTCCACCGTCCTGCGTTTTTGTTCCCTTGGGGTAAGTCGAGTTTATTTATTTTTTTACATTATTTTTTTATAAGAAAAAATGTCACCAATGACAAGACAAACATGTCTTTGAAACTAATTGGTTTGAAACTCAGTTATATTGAAACAAACATAGTTTTTTTAAGAACAAGTGAAAACATGAAATAGGTACAAGAAATTATGTTTAAATGT